GTTGCACTGATTAGCTCGGCCCTAAGACAAGCATTTAATGGCATACTAGTCAGTCCCCAGCCCTGCTTAAGTGTCCCCTCAGACGGGCTGGCTTAAAGAAAACTGACAGAAATGTTCTTTAATAACTATGGTTTATCCATTTCTTTCAGATAGTAAGTGGCACGTTCTCACCTCATTTGTAGCTTTTAATCCCAAATGGACATTGCTTTTGAAATATCCTCTTTCTTTCTTTTCTTTTTTCTCCCCCTGAGGCTGCCACTTGAAAGTTGAAATCTAGCGAGAATGTAATGGTAGGTACCAGCTTTCTGAATTACAGGGTGACTGCCTGGACTGATCCTAAAAAGCAAGTGTCTTTTTTATACCGCATAAAAGGCTGAAATGTTTACATATCAAAAGGCTATAGGCCAATTTCTGTCAAAATTACACATGAAGTTAAGCAGTACAAGCAATTTATTTAAACACTAGTCATTGTAGAAAAATTCAAAACCATATGCTCTTTAGCAGTTTTTCACAAATGCATTTGACCCATGACTTGGCTAGACATACAAGCTTCATAATTTACTCTAAATTTCAAATCCCCTTGACGTTTAAATAAAAGATCTTCATTAATGAGGTTTACATGAATGAAAACTTTAGAAGCAGATATCAGTTAGCGAAGGGCTTCGTTCTAATTTTCAAATGACTGACTTCGCTAATCATTTCAAGAGAAACTTCTTCTGAGAACAAATTATCATCATTTGCATTCTGTGACTTGCAAAAGCAAAGGTGCAGTCATTTTGAAACAAACTTTGGTAAATAGCCCGGCTGAAATCGGATTTCTGCAACCCCAGAAAGCCCAAGCTATTTATTATTTTTTTTTTTTCTAAGGTCTTGGGAACACGTCATTTTTCGACAGCCCCTTCTTCTCTTCTCTTCTCTTTTCTTCTGTTGAGCTTTCCTAACACCTTGATTATTTCTTCCTTAAGGGCTCGGGTGCTTTTATTTGGAGCGTTGCAAAACTTCTAGCAAAAAATCAGCTAGAAAGCTCCCTTATGCCCGCCACTCCGAAAGCAGGAGACCCAGCTCTAGTGCGCGCTGCCCCTTAGCCTGGAGGCATTTGCGCCTCTGGCTCTACTCCACCCACCCAACCTCACACGGAAAATCACCTGGGGCTACCGGAGATATCCTCCAGAAAGCAGCAGGGCCGTGGAACGGGGTTTGAGCACTTAGCTTTGAGACTGGAGTTTTTAGAAGTCCCAATACAAACAACATAACCATTCTGCTCATTGAGGACGGCTGGGGTCTTGGCGCAGCACACGGGCTGCAGGGGGCTCCGCGCATTGCTCCTAATTCCTCTGACCTCGCTAATGCGCCCTCCGAGGAGAGCTCCGTACCTTTGAAAAGGACACACCGCCTTTTTGCACATGACACGAAAAATCCTACTTAAACGCATCCGATTGTGAACTCTGCTCTGTGGCCGGGCAGGAGACGGAGAGAATTAAGAAAGTTCCTGAAACGAACCGTAAGAAGTTGGGGTCGAAGATGCATTATTTTTTACAGTTATGCGGGATGGGGTGTAAGGTTAGTGGGGCGACAGTTTTCTCCATGACAAAAATATCCTGGGGCGGGAGAAGATACCCACACGCATACTCCAAACTTGGGCACTGTTTTAAATCAGAGAAGCAATTGAATCTACACTCTATGAATCAATTTAGTGATGACCGCAGCGCAAAAGCGCCGTGACAGATGCCGAACGGCAAATAGACCTTATGCATGTGGAATCCGCTGATCTATTCTTTAATATCTTAAAAATGAGGGCTATTACTGGGGCGAGTGACTCCTCAACAAACACATTTTCATAGACTTCTGCGTGGTGATTGCTTTGTGTGAAATCGTGTTTGGGTGATAATAGGGAAAATCAGCGTCATGTTTACTGCATTTCCGACCTAAGCGCTCGCCGGCTGCCTCTGGACGCTGGCTGTCCTCCCATGCTGAGCCGTGCGTGCGGGGCCGACAAACAATCGCTTAGCAACACGAGGCGGACAATTTGCGTGCGTCGCATTTGTTATTCCAATTGCGCCTGGCGATGCGGAGCCCTGATGGTTTGTTTAGCACGTTGAGGACACTTGTGGGTTTCCGCCCGTCAAGGCGCAGCGCGAGCACCGAGCCCGGACTGCCTTTCCTGGGGCTTGCCTCCCCGCGGCTGCAGATTGAAGGAGCAACCCGGTGGGGGAGGTCTCGCCGCGCAGGGGTGAGCTCCCCCAGATCTCCGGCAGAGTGTCTGGAGCTGTGTGGCCTTGGGGTTCCTGTGACCCCCTTCCCGGAAAGTCCCCTCCGCGGGAGCACTGGCTTTTCCTTATTTTAGACTCAGCTGATGTAGGAATCCTGTCCTTGTCTGGTGGCAGGGGTGGGGACAGCACACTCCTTTGTCTCAATGAAAAATAAACAAGAAAATGCCCCCAAGTTCATCCCCAACCTCCTTGGCGAACGGATGACAATTACCAAGTCTCATTAAATGTTAGGGTTGTAAAGGGACTCAATGAATGTTGGTGCTGGTTTGATCAACTAAAATCTTGAGGCCTCCAGAGAAGGGGTAATTTGCAAGGTGGCAAGGTTAGGTCTAGAACTCTGACGCTCAGATGCTGTACGGGGCTCCGCTTGTACAGCCGAGGGCTTCAGGAAAGCACAGGCGCAGTATAGGAGTTTGCTAAACCTGGTTATTAGAAAGAACAACATACCAGGTGGAAGGGGAGACGGAGGGGTGTGTGGAGGTGGTTGTCCGACACTTTTAAAAACCTGGAGACACTTCTTTTTCAGATCTGAGGTTGAAATCTTGACTCTATCCTGATTTGGCATCTTTGCAAGAACAGGACAAGGGATCTGTCCCAAGCGTCCGGTGGCACTTGTGCCTCTGCCCGGCTCAGACAAAGGTCTTAAAAGATCCACTCACGCGCACCGCAGCGCACACCCAGCCTCCAACACAAACGCAGGCAGTCACTGCTGAAGTTGCAGCCTCTAGTTGTCTTCCATCAACCACCCCGTAGATTTAAACCTGGGAAAGATTGGTGGGGGAGTATCTGCCCTGGAGCACGGTGATTTAAGTCTCTGAGAACGAAACAACAAAAAAGCCTTCATCCTAGTCAGTGGGAGATGGAAGGTGCCTCACTTCTTATCCTAGACCTGACCTTCTAAGCGGAGGGTCACACTCCCTCCTTGTTTTTATTGTTAAAAAAGAAAAAAGAAAAAATCTAATTGCTTCTCCAAATTGAGACCCATCTCCGTCATGTCCTAATCCCCACTTACAACCACCTCTAGTTTGCGCAACACTGGAAGGCGCAACTCTCAGGCCACAAGCCGGTGGGTGTGAGGACACAGAGGTCCACGCTGGGAGGCCTAGGAGGAGAAGCGCCGCCGCCTGGCTCCACTGGGCCGCTTCTGCGCGGCGCCAGAGTAGTGCCCTCGGACAGGACTAAACCTCCGTGCAATGGCTCTTTGAAACCCGGCCTTTCCCCTTTGCCCCTGCGCCGGGGAGTGGGCAGCCCACTTACTTAGCCTTACCGCGGCGACTTCAGACAACTTTGAGGGGTCCCTTGGTTAATTAGACAGAGACAAATCGCGAAAAATAGGTGTGAGTTAAAGGTGGCCTTCCTTCAGGAAACGCGAGGTCTCCATCTCCGGCTCTCGGCCGTATCGCCTTGGTCGGGTACTGCCCCTTCCCCTGGAGTGGCCTGAGTTGCAAGCCGGGAGGCTTGCACCCGGTCCACAGGATCTGGGGGACTGCTTTTGTTCCGCGCGTACCGTCGCCTACCTTCTCGAAGGGCGCTCGGCCGCCTGCTTGCAGTGAGTGGTGGGCAGGCTGCGCCTCCCGTGGCTCGGGCAGGCTGGCCGTGCCATGCCGAGAATCCCGCAAATCACCGCGGCCGCCTGCCGCTATGAGAGCCGGCCATCGTCCAGGTCACTGGGGCCCAGGGAGTCCACCCAGGGCCTGCCAGGCGGAAGGGCAGGCCGCGGGTAGGGGGCCCGTCCCTATCCGGGAACCAGCAGGTCGTAAGGAAAAATGCGACCCAATTATTAGGGAAGAAGATAGGGAAGTCCCAAAGACCCCATCTGGATTGAAAACCAATAATAATAATAATAGTTTGGGAGAAAAGACACCACATTCCCAAAAATAATTTTTTAAAAGCACAAAAACTACCGACACCCACGGTGGGAGCAGCTGGAAGCACCGCTTCAGACTGCAACTCTTGGTGGCGAATTTTAAAGAGCGGCTGAATTTGGTCTTCGCTGTGTAGGACCTAGGGACTGCCACGGTAGTTTTCAGACCAAGAGTGGCTGGAAAAAAAAAAAAATTCTTTCTAAGAAGCATGATGCACCCCTCCTTTAGTCGTTTTTTGCCTTTACAAAATTTGTTTTTTCCAAAACCAAAAGGTTTTCGGGGCTGTTAACAAGTTCCATTCGGGAGAGAAACTCAAGATTTAAAAAAGAGGTGAAATTAGGCGGTGAGTACATGGGGGCGCGGAGGAGTGGTGGAATTTTCAATCCTGCTTGAGAGGGGATGCAGCCCCTCACATTTTCTAAAACCACCAATTCCGAAAGGGGAAAAAAAGTAGCCCCAAAGAAAAATCGTCCACAATGAGTTTGAGCTACAGGCAGAGGAAATCGCACCCAATAATAGGACCCAATCTGAGAAAAAAGGGTGGGGGTGGAGAGGTCGGGCGGAGGGAGTTGTTAATTGCGGCGGCACAATGGTATTAATGAGATTAACCAAGGCAATTAGGCCGCCCGCCCAGCTCGGCCGGCCCCTCTGCCCGGCTGCCGAATGGAAAAGATTAGGTTAATTTCATTAATTCGCAATCCACAATCTCTTTTCAGGCCTTGTAACCCCCTCCCCTTGGCACCACTCCCCCTCCCCCTAGCCCCCTTCCCCCACCCAAAGGAAAAGAAAGGGCCAAATCTGGTTCTGTTTGTCATCTGCATATTACCAGGAACTAAATCCAGGATGACGTCGACTCAGTATAAAACCAACAAGAGGTTCAGCTGGTCGGAGCTCCGTCCTACCCGCGGGTTGAGTTCAGCGAACGCTGCGGCTAGGGGAGGGCGGGAGGAGGGAGAGCGGACGCAGGGGGCGGGGAGGGGCGCAGGGCTGCGCGCTCGCAGGCGCTCTCTTTCGGTTTGGTCGGCGGCTAGAGGAGAGTGGACCCCCCCGCTTTAAGGCTCTGTCCTCGGCACGTTCCCGCCGCCCCCCGGTCCCGGCGCGGGGCTCGGGGATGCCCGCCAGCATGTTCAGCATCGACAACATCCTGGCCGCCCGGCCGCGCTGCAAGGACTCGGTGCTGCCGGTGGCGCCCAGCGCTGCGGCTCCCGTCGTCTTCCCGGCCCTGCACGGGGACTCGCTCTACGGCGCCAGCGGCGGCGCCTCCTCGGACTATGGCGCCTTCTACCCGCGCCCCGTGGCCCCCGGCGGCGCAGGCCTCCCGGCCGCGGTCAGCGGCTCCCGCCTCGGCTACAACAACTACTTCTACGGGCAGCTGCACGTGCAGGCGGCGCCCGTGGGCCCGGCCTGCTGCGGGGCCGTGCCGCCGCTGGGCGCCCAGCAGTGCTCCTGCGTCCCGACGCCCCCAGGTAGGGTCGCGTTCGCTCCGGCCTTTGCCGCCCACCGCGGTCCTTAGCCCATGGGGCCAGTTGGTTAATTCACCTTCTTCAAACTTTGCTCCTCCTGCAAGTCCCCCCTCCGCTTTTGCCGATCGGGCGCAGGAGTTTGCAAACTTCTTGCTGCAAACTTTTGGCCAGAGTTCGCGAAAACTGGAATTCAGTGCCTGCCCGGGGAGACTGGGTTTTTTTTTTAATTCTCTGACTTTGGGGGGTGTGCGGATGGACGCTCTAACACGCTCCTTTTCCCCGCACCCCTGATTCCCGTGCACCCCCAGTTCTCAGCACCCCCTTGCAGACGACTTCTAAGTGGAAGAGGGTCGGGGGCTGGCGGGCGTGCATGCGTGCGGTGGCGAGGGCGGGCGGCTGACCGTGCGCCCCACTCTGTCGCAGGCTACGAGGGCCCCGGCTCGGTGCTGGTGTCCCCTGTACCGCACCAGATGCTGCCCTACATGAACGTGGGCACGCTGTCGCGCACCGAGCTGCAGCTTCTCAACCAGCTGCACTGCCGGCGGAAGCGGCGGCACCGCACCATCTTCACTGACGAGCAGCTCGAAGCGCTCGAGAACCTCTTCCAGGAGACCAAGTACCCGGACGTGGGCACGCGCGAGCAGCTGGCCCGGAAAGTGCACCTCCGCGAGGAGAAAGTGGAGGTAGGCGCCGGGGCCTGCCGCGGGCGCCTAGCGGTCTTTCCCCGCGAGGTGGGGCCCCAGCCGGGTTTGCCCAGCCCTGCTTGGCTCTACCCGCACTTTAAAAACATCCCGATGGCGGCCCGCAGGCTGCTGGAGGGCGCTTTAGGCCCAGGAAGTTGAATGAAAACGCGGAAGCGGGAGCGAGCGGCTCCCCTCCTTTTGTTGGCCTGCGCGAGGTGTCCCGCCGCCACACCGAGCTACCCGGGTGCCCCGGGACTGGGGGAAGCGCGCCTTTGATCTGAAATGTTTTGTCCTCCGTTGCGCAACAGGTCTGGTTTAAGAACCGCCGCGCCAAATGGAGGCGGCAGAAGCGGTCCTCATCGGAGGAGTCGGAGAACGCGGAGAAGTGGAACAAGACGTCGTCGTCGTCGTCGAAGGCATCACCGGAGAAGAGGGAAGAGGAAGGTAAAAGCGATTTGGACTCGGACAGCTGACGGCCGCGGGACACTTGCTCGTATTACTTACCTAACTCGAAGGACTTGCACAGACAGACGATGCTACTTTCTTGCACACGCGCTGCCTTGCGGGAGGGGGTCGAGAAAGAGGAACGAAGAGCTGTAAATAGTGTACAGAGCCGGGAGGGTCGGCGCCTCGGGTCAGGGCGCGCCGGGACCCACAGCCCAGCAGCCCGACGCCGCCCGCGACTAGCCCCCACCGTAGTATTTATAGTTAAATTAAGGGTGACAGTACAATAAAGTGATGGCGATGTAGACGGGCCACATTCTGTATTTCATACCCCACCCCCACCCACCACCATCAATCTGGAGCCAAGAAAAGAAATCTATGTAGTCCGTAACCTCCGGAGGAAAAAATTGAGCAGCTCTGATCTACCAAAACAAACAAACAAACAAGAAATGAAACTCTGGGTAACAGTCACAGCATGGGTGTCCTGGTTTAAAATGAAACCTTATGTCTAGGAAGGGTTGGAGAGTAGGGTTGCCGGGCCAGAGTGGGGAGGAGGTACATTGCAGTTGAGAGGGGCAGCCTGGGTCCCTCACTTCCCTCTTCCACGGGCAGAAGGAGCACTCCTTCCCTCGCTGATGAGGGAGAGGTGAGAGCTAGGGGAGTCCTGGAGCTCCCACAGAGCCCACCGCTCCAAGCTGCTCAGCCCTGCTCCTGAGAAACCTAAGGCGGCAGGCCCACGGGGGAATTAGGCAGCGGGCATGCCAGCTCCCCCAGCACTTTCCTGGATCTTCCACAGATGCTCCAGCTGCCCAGCTCCACATGCGAGTTGCCCCTTCCCCCAGGGCAAGCGTTTCTGCTCTGACATTTCTGAGCTGTGCGCCCTAGAGCTGGCCGGGACCAGGCGCTGCTCCTGCTGCGCTGCGCTTCTCCCTGGGCATCTGGAGTGACCAGGGCCGCACGTGATGCACTCAAGGCCAGCCTTGTCTAAGAGGGCACCGCTGGTGGGGTCACTTCCAGGTGGCGGTACCGACACCTCCTGCTTCTTCCCCAGACTGTCTTCCCTCTGCACCAACTGGGTGGAGAAGGGAGCTCCCGGGAACGCGCCCAGTGCGCTGGTGGGCAGTTTATGAAGGATTGGAGAAGCCCCCGCCCCCAGTGCGGATAAGCGCCTGGGCCAGGGATGAAGACAAGAGCCTGCCGTCTGTATGGTTCCCCAGGCCGTCCTGGGGATGGAAGTGGAGACTAAGGGCCAGCAGGAATGGCTTTCAACTGTCTTCGGTTTACCATTTTATAGACTTAAAGCTAAGGCTTAGAGAGCTTTCCAGCTTGGCTTCCGGCAACAGCCGGCTGCAGGGACTTGTTTTTTCTCTTGGGCTACCTCGGGTATTTGGTGCAAGATCCCTCCAGAGAAAGGTTGTGCATCCTGGCTTTGGGACACAGCACGTGAAAAGTAACAGTGTTTTAGAAGAAGCAGTATGTTTTTTTCACAGCTTGCAGATTTGCAAGGTAAAAATGACTCCTGTAGCGGGTAGCAGGCAAAATGATACCTATGAAATATGAGTGACTACCCCATTACTGCCTTTTTAATAAGGGGTATCCCTAGACAAAAGAAAGAGGCAGTGTTTTGGAGGCCGGGTCTGCCTCAGGAGGCAAGATTGCCTTGGTTCTTATCCAGACTTCATTTTGTGACCTTGGGCAAGTTACGTAACCCCTCTGACCCCGCACCTTCCGTAACCAAAATAGGCATGGTCATAGTGTCTGTTTCCCAGGGTGGCTGTGGACGTTAAAGACCCCCAACTTACAGAGAATGGCACCTGGCATAAGGGAATCCTTCAACACAATTTTAAAAAAAATATTATGATTGATACTGTGTCAGACCCAATACTTCAATATTTATATACATTATTTTATTTTACCTTTCAAGAACTCTTAAGAGTTGGGGAATGTTTTCACCATTTTACAGATGAGGAAATTAAGGTTCTGAAAGGTTAAATACTTTAACAACCTATAGCTTGTAAGAAATAAAGAGGAGACATCATCTTTGCCCAAGTGAGTCTTGTACCGTGATTGGAAATGTTTTCATTAACTGTTCTTATGAGGAAATATTCAAAGAAGCCTTTATGTTAATTTCAAATGAATCTTGCAATGGCTATTAATGTACCTCCCACTTAGAATTCCAGGGTGGGAGGACCTTGCCTGGCTTGCACCCCCTGCTTCCCAATAGTCGATGTTCTTGGATGGTGTCCTCTGCAATGAGCCTGCAGGGACATCTGGAACATTCTAATGTAAGGCAGAGTGGGCAGTGTCATTCCACCCAGATAATTTATTTTTATTTTTATTTTTATTGAGACGGAGCCTTGATCTGTTGCCCAGGCTGGAGTACAGTGGTGCAATCTTGGCTCACTGCAACCTCCTCCTCCCAGGTTCAAGTATTCTCCTGTCTCAGCCTCCCAAGTGGCTGGGATTACAGGCATGTGCCACCATGCCTGGCTAATTTTTTGCATTTTTAGTAGAGACAGGGTTTTACCATGTTGGCCAGGCTGGTCTCGAACTCCTGACCTCAAGTGATCCACCAGCCTCGGCCTCGCCTCACAAAATGCTGAGATTACAGGCATGAGCCACAGGGCCTGGCCCCACCCAGAGAAATTTGACCTCTGCAGGACTATTTATAAACTCTGTGTGTCTCTTTGCACATGACTTGCCCTCAGGCCCCCAATAAAAGACGATTGTTCATTTTTCTAAAAATCTGCATTTATCTAGTCTGGAAAGCAAGTGACAGGGGCAGGGGAATTGAGGAGGGATAGATCCTTGTCCCCTATTAGTGTTTGGTGAAAAGCTGTAGTGAATGGAGGGAAGAGTGGTCCAAGAGCCAGAGAACTCTCCTGTCTTGGCCCGGGGCAGGCACAAGGTGGCAGGAGAAAGCTCCTTCACTATCCACATCTCCACATCAGAATCCCCTGTGAAGTGTTTGAGGATTGGCCCCGTTCATAGGAAATAAACGTATCTGGAGTGAAGAGAGAACTGCCAGGATGGTCTCATTATAGTCCCCACACCTACCTTCCCAGATGGCTATGGGTTCAAACCTCTGTCAGCTTGGCTGTCAGTGTTAGGAAGGGCTGGATGGGGTCACGGAGCAAAAGGTACTTAGGCTTTGAGAGTCCCCATTGGCTGAGCTGTGGGCCTTAGTAGCTTGCTTCAGTGGGAATTTGGGTCATGGTGCCGATAGGTAGTGTGTATACGTGTTAAAGTGGACAAGGTGTAAGCCAGGTGACTTTGCTTTAGTTATTTCCAATCTGAACCCCCGCCGCCAGACCACCAAAGGTGTTTTGTCCATTTCATAGTTGAGTAAACTGAGGCACAAAGCTAACACAAAGGGGTTCCCAACTGTAGTCGGCAAGGGACCCAGCTTTTGTGATTGCCATAAATCAGGCTGCCTCATAGAATCCGGGCTGTTCTTTTGGGTGGCAATATAAACCATAAACCCTATATAAAAGTTCACCTACAGCAAATGGCCACAGGAGTGAACATAGTTGCCCCTGGGGAATGTAAATTTGAATCTCACAAAGTGCCAGACAGTGTCTAGCAAAGAACAGTTAGGACAATTGTAACCCCTAACATGAGTCTGGCACTTTTCACTGCGAAGTGCTTCCCCACGCATCTCAGGCCATCAGGAGGCAGAATGCAGCCTAGTTTGCACATGGGGGATGGAGGCTCAGAGAGACCCAAAACTTCGCCAGGAACAAATCGTAAGTCCTGGATCCCCGACCTCAGCAGACTTGCCACACATCTCTTAAGATGGTGGAGAGGTATGAAGTAACGTCTTCCAGGTGTCTCAGGTCATCTGGGCCAAGGAGGACCCTGGCTGGAAGGAGCAGATGAGTAAGAGGAAAAGTGCAGGGTGTGGGGGAAGAAATGGGGAATCTGAGGTTCTGAGAGTCCTCCACGGAGGGTGCGTTCTAGCTGCTGTTAGCAGTCTGCTGGGCACTGGTTGGGGAAAGGGCTTGAAAACAATTGCTTTACAAAGAGCATCCACAGAAAGTGTATTTGAATTACAGTTCTTTAATTGAGTTGTTTTACTGACCTTGGAACTTTGACCTAAGGGTTTTAACCCTCGTGTAAAGGACATCTTTTTTTTTTTTTTTTTTGAGACAGAGTCTCACTCTGTCGCCCAGGCTGGAATGCAGTGGTGCGATCTCAGCTCACTGCAACCTCCGCCTCCTGGACTCAAATGATTCTTGTGTCTCAGCCACCTGAGTAGCTGGGACTATAGGCATACACCACCGTGCCCAGCTAATTTTTTTTGTATTTTTAGTAGAGACGGGGCTTCACCAGGCTGGCCAGGCTGGTCTTGAACTCCTGACCTCAGGTGATCCATCCACTTCAGCCTCCTAAAGTGCTGGGATTGCAGGCGTGAGCCATTGTGCTCGGTGTAAAGGACATCATTTTAATGTGTATATGTGAGACTGAAGTGGGCGGATTCTTCTTTCGTTTCTTTGTGTGTGTGTGCGTTGGTGATGGGAGGGCAATGGGAGCCGGGAGGTAGGGGTGACAGGGAGCTGTTTTTCTGAGTTGTATGAGATTTTAAGTGACTCAAGTAAAATACTTTAGACACCAAGACTCTCGCACCCAAAGATACCTTGCTATGCTGGCCTTCTGACCCCAAGATCTGTACTTCACCTCCCCCAAGTTTCCTACACACCTCCTTAAGTAAAAAACAGGAGTGCAGATGCAAACTTCTGACCTTGGGGAGGCTAGGGCAACATGTTGTGGCGAGTGGACAGCTGGTGGCTGGCCTTTAGAACCATGGTGGGCCAAGCGTCCATGTGAATGGGGTCACATACTCACCGAGTGACCTGGGACAGGTTCCTTCAGCTCTGAGTCTATCAAGTTCCTTCCTCACCTGCAAAATGGGCTTGGGTAGAGGATTAGGGTTTATGGAAGTAAATAACCCAGCAGAGTGTCTGACACATTTATCATTGTAGATTTTGAAAAACACTTTCAGATCGGTTGGATAACATCCTGCATAAGTAGACTGGAGTTAGGAATTAAGGAATGCACCTTGTTTTTAATTGTTGTTGGTTTAGGAGCTTATGCGTGACCACAGGACACAAACGCTAACGAAATAAGTATGATTGCCATGGATTTAAAACAAGGGAACATCTGATAAGGCGTAATAGCTTGCATTCTCTCAGAGAGGTTTAGGACAAGGAGATTTAGATGAGGAAGGAGAAAATTTGCAGTGGATTGGGATTCGATTTCCAAGGTTTGTGAAATGACCTTGACGTTTTTCAAACACAAATTAAAACAAAAGC